AATAAATTTGAAATTACATACACCTATACATACATTATTAAGCCGGCTAGTGTAGTGGCAACTATACCTGCAGTAATCAAATGGACAAGTAATTTATGTTTAAAGTGTTCCGACCACTGGTATATTTGTCAAGCATATTCATTAGTAATCATTAGCCTTCTTTGACTTGTGTTACATTTACAAACTATCATCAAGAAGGAAATTTAGTGAGCGACCATCAAATATTGGACAAGTACTCCAGTTAAGGGGATTCAGATTAAAAGGACACTACACATCCATTTGTTGTTTCTGTCATACAAGTGCATATCATACCAAATTTACACTCAGCAGATCACGTTTATCTCCGTTAGTTTAAAAATTAGAGTTAATCGACCTACCTATTATGAAACTTTATGTTAAGAACATWATCTGTGTTTGAATGTGGGTTTTTACAATAATATAATTTTRCAGCAAATTATGTGTATTTAAAAAAGCGTATCGATGAGAGACTAAAATACCAAAACTAAAAACATTTAAGCTTACTCCAAGCACTGTTTGGATTCTTTTCAACACCAGCTGCTGTATTGATTGACAAAGTTAAACTATTCTCTGTTGGACACATTCGGTTTGCTTGAATTGCTGCTTTTTTGGCCAACAGCCAGGCTAACGATGAACATAGCAATGATAGCGTTTTTCCTGTTCCAGTAGGTGACTCCAGCACACCATTATGTCCCTGAAAATATGAAACTCAATATACACACACCAATCGAGTAGATGGAAAAAATTATGSTGCACTTTAATGACTACTTACGTTTTGCAAACATTCCAGAACCTTTTCGATGTATCGTTTCTGAACTTCGTAAGGTTCGTAGGGAAAGTCCACCAGCACTCCTTTGCATTCAAATGACGTCATTTTCTACTCGTAYCTACGATTTAATACGTCATAGATGGTACTAGCACCCGAAAAAACTCGAAAATATATTTACAAAARTGAAAAACATAAATGCATTGTGYTTAGTTATTATCATAAGTCTATGGATATTACGAACTAAAATAACGGTCGTGCGAAATGGCTTAAAAATGTAATCTTCTTCTGTACTTTTGTCTAACTTCTTAGTTCGGAATTGTTTAATATTCAGTAGTCGAGTCGTTAATACGAAATACAATATACAAATTACAATGATAAATATTACTATAATTATTAATTATACATTACTATAAAAAAAAAATAGTACCTTATTATACCTAAAATATACTTATTATTTAAAAATAATATTACATATTAGAATACTTGGAAATTTATCAACATCTGTGATTGGAAAATTATAGTTCTTTTTGTGCCATAAAAGCGCGGGATTTTCATAGATAAGACGATAATATATAAGACAGAATCCAGATTTATTTCTTATCTATTCTGTGGTTATATCACCAAAGCACCAATCATCATGCAGAACCAGAAATCAGAAAATTCTGTAGTGAAGGCACGAACTAATAAATTATGAATGATGGACGATCGTATAATTATAAAATCTTCTCTATTCTCTATAGTCTATTTCATGGGTCTTTGTGCTGGTAATGAACAATAATTAAAAGCTTTTAAAAACAATAACAAACACGAGGGTAAGATTACAGAGGTTTTAGATTTTTGGACTTTCAGCAAGAAATAATCCAAGAAAATGGACCTAAAAAAAAATTTCCTGGATTCAAAATATATTTAAAACTCGTCTCAGGGGAAGAAAATCTCGGGAAACACAAAGTTTACTTAGAATGGGCGTTGACACGGGCAATATAGGGCAGGGGTCGGCAACCTTTTAACTTACGC